CGCGTCTCACACACACACGCCACACACACACACGTCACACACACACACGTCACACACACACACACGTCACACACACACACACGTCACACACACACACACGTCACACACACACACGTCACACACACACGTCACACACACACGTCACACACACACGTCACACACACACGTCACACACACACACGTCACACACACACACGTCACACACACACACGTCACACACACACACGTCACACACACACACGTCACACACACACACGTCACACACACACACGTCACACACACACACGTCACACACACACACGTCACACACACACACGTCACACACACACACCACACACACACACACGTCACACACACACATCACACACACACACACACACACACACACATCACACACACACACACACACACACACACGTCACACAAGCTCGTTTTGGAGCTTAACTCTTTCCCCGCCATTAACGAGATATCTCGTCTTTTAGAAGAAAACGCTTCACTGTTATAGACTCGAGGGCGCTATTACACGTCTTCTGAACGAGTACAAAACCTCCCGAACAAAAACACACATGAACAGGATGGAGAAACTAGCGATCTCTTATGTAAACAGATGCATATGAAAAATAATGCGATCATCAGCAATAGACAGCATATAAATGAAAACTGCATAATGTTACGGAGTACAATGTTGATCCAGGAAGTGGTATATGTCTGTGCAAGCTTTGGAGGTATTGATGGATTATGCTTTGATAATCATACTGAATATTATCCAGATGTAGTTTTTGATAAAAATTTGATTTTCTCGCCTTTTTGTTCAAAATTATGCATTTTTATGAAACCTACATACGTTCAAGTGTTGATAAAAAAAGAATGCTTTAAGCTAGAATAAAATGGAACAATTTTTGTTTAAAAGTAGAGGCTCTGATCTTTATTTTGGTGCATTGCATATTCAAATATTCATACAGCAAAATATACTGGAGGCCATCAAACTTTAGTGAAAATCATCAAAAACTTTTTTCAAAAAATGCTGAGAGAGAGGAAAGCGTTAAATGTGACCCTGGAGCACAAAACCAGTCTTAAGTGTCAATTTTTCGAAATAGAGTTTTATGCATCATCTGAAAGCTGAATAAATAAGCTTTCCATTGATGTATGGTTTGTTAGGATCGGACAATATTTGAAAATCTGGAATCTGAGGGTGCAAAAAAATCTAAATATTGAGAAAATCATCTTTAAAGTTGTTCAAATGAAGTTCTTAGCAATGCATATTACTAATCAAACATTAAGTTTTGATATATTTACGGTAGGACATTTACTAAATATCTTCATGGAACATGATCTTTACTTAATATCCTAATGATTTTTGGCATAAAAGAGAAATGTATAATTGTGACCCATACAATGTATTGTTGGCTATTGCTACAAATATCCCCCAGCGACTCAACACTGCTTTTGTGCTGCAGGGTCACAAATTCCAGATGAATTAACTGACTTCACTGCATAATGGATCTAAACATTAGTGAATCTCATCAAAACTCCCAGGAAATAAAACCAACAATCTGTATCCGTAATATATTATTTTATATAAACCTCTTTTGCATATTACATTAAGGCTAAAAATGCATAAAAATGTAGGACTCATTTTAGGATCAAGACATTGTGAAACTATATTCAGGATAATTAAACACATATTTTCCTCCCAGATTCTCATTACCACAATGCAAACACAAAATCTTATTACATTTTATTTTTTACATTTTATTCATTGTATAATGTTATAGATCTACTAAATTAAACAAACAAATAATAATACAATTTATTTATAATAAATAAGCTTTATTATTTGTTATATTCTATTATTATTATTATTTATTCAACAGTTTAATAACAATAATGCATATATATTTACATTATTATACATTATATATATATATACTAAAAATAATACATTATACAAAAATACATTTTATTTTTATTATATTATTATAATTTATTCTATAGTTTAATAATCATATATATTATGCCTAATTTTAGAGACATTAAGATATTCTGAGACTACTGTAATGACAATTGAACACACATTTTCTGCCCAGATTCTCATTACCAAATCTTATTCCCATTACTGTAAAAAAAATTATATATATATATATATATATATATATATATATATACACTGTATACACACTGTATATAAGTACATACACACACACATACAGTAATGAGAATTAGATTTCTAAACTACACTAAAATCTATCTACCTATCTATAAGTGTATCTATTTTATGTATAAAGTCAAGTCAAGTCACCTTTATTTATATAGAGCTTTTAACAATACTGATTGTGTCAAAGCAACTGTACAGCATTAATTAAGAAAATAGTGTGTCAATAATGCAAAATGACAATCGTAAACACTAATTTTTCAGTACAATTAAAGTACAATTGCACTGATTTTATTTTAAATGTCATGAAAATAAGTCCACTGTACTCCTAAAAACCGGCTTCCTTTCCTTGCGAAATATAAACTCTTGTGTTTATTTAGGATGTTGTGGTGAAATATGAGCCACAGATTCACTCGATCCTCAGAGTGGATGGCTGTGCATGTCCTCACCCTGTTGCTGTGGTCACTGATTTTGATGATGGGCTCGTTCTTCCTCAGATCCCAGACGATGGCCTTCCCGCTGGGGTTTGCAGACGCCAGTATGTGCTGCACCTGACAGTTCCACGCCACCACGCTCACGTCCTCTGCCGGCTAACACACACACACACACACACACACACACACACACACACAC